TTTCTTGCCAAACAAATAATTCTACCGATATCATTTCTTTAAACAATATAAGTGAAGAAAACGTAATTAGGGCTTCGAAAAGATTAAAGAACAAAATGACGTCTGGATGTGATGGTATAAGTTTTTTCGTTAAAGATTGCATTCATATACTAGAGAAACCGCTGGCTTCCATATTCAACCTAATTCTAAAATCAGAGACATATCCAAAAATCTGGAAGACCTCTAAAATATGTCCTATTCACAAAAGTGGAGATATCTCTGATATTTCCAACTATCGCCAAATAGCAATCCTGTGTAATTTCAGCAAGTTGTTTGAGATCATCGCTTATGAAACGCTCAGAGGTGCAGTCTCTATTAATCAGCATGGGCTTATGAGAGGCAGATCTACGGTCACCAACTTGGCTCTGATTACTCAGTACATTTCTGAAGTACTGGACGGTCAGGGACAAGTTGATGTCATCTACACAGATATTCAGAAGGCGTTTGATCAAGTTGATCATTATGCACTTCTGGATAAGCTTAAAACAGTGGGTATGTCTGATGCAATGCTGTCGCTCATGAATTCATATTTGAGTTATAGAAGGTTATTTGTCGAATATGGTGGTCATAGGTCGAGCTACTATCGGGCCACGTCCGGGGTACCTCAAGGGTCAAATCTAGGTCCATTATTGTTTTTGATATTTATCAATGACCTGTCTTTTGAACTGAAGTGTTTCCATTTGTTTTTCGCTGATGACCTTAAAATCTGCACGTCAGTCAAGACAGTCGAGGATTGCGTCATGTTGCAAGATGACTTAGCTCTAATTTCGTCATGGTGTTCACGAAACTGTCTCAGACTGAATGTTTCGAAATGTAAAGTTATGACTTATACAAGAAAAGTTAACTATTTAATTTATGATAATTATAACATCAATGGTCAGGTTATAGACAGATGCACCTCTTATAGAGACCTTGGAGTCATTTTTGATACCAAGCTAACGTTTACTGAGCATATACTCAATATCTCGTCGGCTGCCACTCGACTACTTGGTTTCTGTATCAGAAACTGGAAGGGTTTCTCCAATGTTGATACATTAATGACTTTATTTTTTACTTTTGCTTTAAAGTATTTTTACCTTAAATGCACAGGTTATTATCCAGAAAGAGGTTGTGACCATAGTGCCCTATTAGAGTTTTTCAATTTGGATTCACTGTCAACAAGACGAAACATATTTGCTTTGTCGTTTTTGTATGGCCTCATTCACAATAAAATTGACTGTCAAAATTTTCTTGAAAAAATATGTTTCCGCGTTCCAAGGCTAGGGAGTCGACAACAAACGGCATTCTATTGTCAAGCTGGCCGTACAAATGTTATGACAAAATCCCCAATTAATCTCATGTGTTGCGTCATGAACAGTGTTACTGAATCGTGTGATATTTACAGTGACAGTTGTGCATCGATTATTAACTGCTATAGAACATCCAATCTTATTTAGAATGTGTGATACTATAGATTTAAGTCCAAGAACCATGTATCTTTAATTGTAATTTTTTTTTAGCGTTTCCTGTAATTGGGTTTCACCTGTTGGAAATAAATAAATAAATAAATAAATAAATAAATAAATAAATAGATAAATAAAAAACGCATATGCGTAATCTGCCGGTTTTGCAGAACAGAACCTTGCCAACCATCACCAAGGCATCATGGTATGTCTCCAACGATACCCTTCATGGAGACCTCGACATCCCTTACCTAAGGGATTACAGTTACGTTGCGTGATTCAGTAGACTACACAGTCGAGCAAGTTCGCAAGCACACAAGACCGCGGTTCGCACTGTGATCAAAATCAAATCGTTCAATTCTATATCCAACTAAAATTACGATTTTTGCCAAACGCAAATTCCTAAATTAATTTTTGGATTAATTTAAATTAACCGAATACCAGTTAACAATAGCAAGGCATCCCTTTAACCGGCGCACTTCTCCCTCTTTGCCTTTCTCCCTTCATAATTTCTTTCTTCTTCCTTTCTTTCTCCCTGACTTCGTCTGGTCTCTGGGCAACCAGACCTGACAGATCTACTAACTTACGATACTTTAACAAAGAGCGAAGGTCCCACGGACCGCACTGACGGACAATGACGAATAGAAATCTGTTGGCACATTCACATAGTTGTCATATACTAAGTGACATAGAAAAAGGAACACCCAGTTTATTATGTTTGCAAACTACACTACTGCACATTGTCCGCTGCCGCTACTGTTGAGCTTCACTCAAAAGTAATAGCCGCGATGGATCAGTCTTATGCGTGATGTCAACGCAATAGATTGCTGATGAACGAAACTGATACCATGATTGTTAATTGTACCATCCGTAGACTTATCCCAAAATACAATTTATTGCTCAGCTCAAGCTATTAGGAACATTTTTTGACATTAAAAATGTTGTGGACTCAGGTCCAACGATCTTGCCGCGGCCTGATCCACCTTGATGAATGAGTGTTTTATCCTTAACAGCATCACTTTGTACTTGAAATCATATAAAAATTATTCCGAAGTCTGAGTTTTTAAGAAAAACAATCCTCACGTCTGTAAATAATGCAAACACATGAGCTGCGACATGAGAATACTAAATAATATTCCGGCACATCACACTCGGTCAGATCGAAACCACTTCAATTACTTAAATTGACATCCCTTATAACTGCAATAAAGTGAGAAAAATACATAGCAGAGAGTGAATAACAATAATACCATTTAGAAATTGCCAATAGTTGGACAACTTTTTTGATTAACTGGCACAGTGATCGTACTTCATCCTCTCACTCTACAAGGTGTCAGAGATAAGAAAGAGTTTTAATAAAAATGTATACTTTGGCTGACTTTTACTAAAACAAAATTTTACTATCCAGCAGGCCATGACGTGACCAATCTACAGTTCCAGGATGATGCTTCAATTTCGAGACACCCTGTATATACCTCTTTACGCTGATGGAATATTAAACAAGTTTGAAAATTATTATATGCACGTACATATCTCCATTCTTTTAAAATAGCATATGTGACGGCTGCTCCCTTTACGTTGATGATTCATTCATCATAATTTTAAAATATCAAGTGGGACGTGTCTTCTCCATAGTTTGATGTCATATTCACCATATTTTAAAAATAACAAGAGTATGCCTGCTTTACACTTGGAAAGTATACTGGCGGAAAGTACTTGCCGCCAGTAAACTTGCTGTGGGATAGTTGTCTACACTTTTGCTAGTTTACTGGTTGACAAGTAGAAAAACAAAATGGCTCCAAGTGCGGTTGTACGTGGTGCTGTTAAAGTAACTGCTATCGCAGTTGCAAATCATTTACTTGAAAAGAAAAAAAAAAGAAACGAGTATGGTAAAGGCTTGGATTAAGCGCAGAAATATTCTAGGGGCTTCCGCTCGACTTCTAAAAGAGATAGCAACCGAAGATCCAGAAACATATAAGAATTTTATGAGATTATCGCCCTCAAAATTTGATGAATTATTAACACTAGTTGCATCAAAACTTACAAAATCGGAGACATTTATGAGAGCTCCACTTTCTCCCCGAATAAAATTGGAGGTGACATTGCGATACCTGGCTAGTGGCGACAGTTTGGCCTCTCTACAATATACAGACTACCGAGGTGCACTATTTCTGCCTTTTTACCAGATATTCTGTTGGCTGTATACGAAGTGCTTGGCAACTACATAAAGGTAAGAAAACATAGTTTATACAGGGTGGTCCATAAGCCCTTTGAAATTTCAAATTTGAATAAAATTTAACGGGCGAGCGTGAGCGGCGCGGGCGAGGTGGGGGCAGTATCTTCAGTGTCTGGGAATTCAGTCGCCATGGAGTGTTTCACTGGAGCGGATCGTGCTTTTTGTGTGCGCGCGTTTTATCAAAATAATGATTCGGCAACCATTGCGCGGCGTAAATATCGAGAATACCACAATTTACACAATTTTTCAAAGTGTCCAACAGCTCAAACGATGAAGAACTGGGTTGCTAAGTTCGAAGAGACTGGTTCGACGTTAGATAAACAGCGGTGGGGTCGACCAAGGACAACTCGTATTGAAGAAAACATCAACATTGTGGCACAGTCTGTTCGTCAAAATCCTACCCAGTCTACTCGTAAGCGTTCCAGTGCACTAAACGTACCCAGAACATCTTTACAGCGGATTTTAAGGAAAGATTTACGTCTGCGCGCTTACAAAATTCAGATAGTGCAGGAATTAAAAGATAATGACGCTATTCAGAGACTAAACTTTGCGAATGAAATGTTCAATCGATTTTCTTCGCTGAATAATGTGTTGTTTTCGGACGAGGCTCACTTCCATTTAAACGGGCATGTAAATAAACAAAATTGCCGTTATTGGAGCCCCGAAAATCCAAGGCGTAAGCATCAGAAGCCCTTACACAGCCCTAAAGTTACAGTTTGGGCTGCTATGTCAGCGCATGGCATCGTAGGCCCTTATTTTTTTGAGGACGACAGAGGTCGCGCATTAACTGTTACTTCGGAGCGGTATGTAGCAATGATAGAAGAGTTTTTGACACCAGCGTTGCAGAATTTTCCAGGCTATAATACGCAGACCTGGTTTCAACAGGACGGAGCAACTGCCCACACCTCCAACACTTCTATGCCCGTCGTCTGTCAACTTTTTCCCAGCAAAGTAATTTCTCGAAGAGGAGACATGTCCTGGCCACCACGTAGTCCAGATTGGACCCCAATGGACTTCTTTTTATGGGGCTACCTCAAGAGTAAAGTGTACGACACCACTCCGCGATCAGTTGATGTCCTGAAAGAAAATATCCGACGTCGTTTATATGAGTGCCGTGATCGTTATGGATTGCATTTAGACGATGTGATTTTTTAAACATAATTCCCATTCAATAAAGATGATAACAAAATATAATAATTCTTCATAATGTAACTAGTTTGGTTTTATTCCTTTTTTTCCAGCTCAAAGGACTTATGGGCCACCCTGTTTCCAGTTGGTGCAAGGTAATCTCTTCACATTGATACTGGTTGTTTTGGCTATGCATCTATGATGAAGTCTGGAAATTCGGATGGTTCCGTAAGCCTGAGAAATTGTTTTGTGAATAGTGGTGGTTCTGGTTAGATACATGGTATGGATTTTGTAAGGTTTGATGTGGTTCGCTGTTCTGAAAATTCTGGCTTATTGACGCAAATTGATTTAATCTCTCAGTAGTAATCAGTTTTTGGATTTTTTCCTGCAAAGTTATAAAACTTGGTACAGGAAGTTGTCTCATTTGGGAAGCAACGTGTTTAGCAAAACAGTCGTATTCATCGTCCACTTTCCCTTCATTTTGTTGTACAATCTCCTTTAGATTGTCGATTGCAGTTTGTATGGGAAGACTACGAGCAGCTTTAACTTTACTACGCTTTTTTCGTTTTGGTGTTTGAAATGGGTGATCATCGTGGAATTGTGTTTCACATTCAATACCTTTTGACTCACTTGACGTTTCATCATTTTCATCTTCTGCACTGTTCACTTCATTTCGGTTATTCTGTTCGCTCTCAAAACAAAATTAATTAAGTAATAACACTGGACAACAAATTTTAGTTTTTTAATTGTATCTTGTGGGAAAAGTGCACTCCTTTGTTAATTTTGGGGCGCTGAATCCAAAAATGACAATGAAATGAAAAAATTAGTTGCGGTTTAGAAAAAAAACTTTTTATTTTTAAGGATATATTAAAAAAAGTAACAAGATTCATATACTTATAAGAATCACTATATGCGCTGTCTTTTTGCTGTTCTTTTATGGATCGTTTCTGGAGCATCTCTACCAAGAGTCCAACAGTAGTCTGCAAGCATGGAAGGATTCCACTTTCCCTGGTACCTTTTTTCCATTGTTGAAATATCCTGATGAAAACGTTCGCCGTGCTCATCACTTACGGCTCCGCAATTGTCAGGAAAAAAGTCCAGGTGTGAGTGTAGGAAATGTATCTTAAGAGACATATTACATCCCATCTTTTGATACGATGACAGCATATTTTTGACAAGGGTTTTATAGTTGTCAGCTTTTCTATTTCCCAAGAAATCAGTGACCACCAGACGGAAATCATTCCAAGCAGCTTTTTCAATACCCGTTAAAGTGTTTTCAAACTGTGTATCTCTCAAAACATTTCGAATCTGTGGCCCAACAAAAATACCTTCTTTAACCTTTGCCTAACTTAGTCTTGAAAATTTCTGACGCAGGTATTGAAAAGCTGACCCATCTCTATCTAATGCCTTGACAAAGTTTTTCATTAGGCCCAACTTGATATGCGGTGGTGGTAATAATTTTTTTTTTCGAATCTACTAATGGCATATGCTGTACATTTTTTTGACCTGGCTCTAGGAATTGACGAACAGGCCAGTTTTGTCTGGTGTAATGAAGTGCCTTTGCCCGGCTTTCCCATTCACAAAAAACAGCAAAACTTTGTGTAGCCTAGCTGCAGCCCAAGTAAAAGTGCAACAACTTTCAAATCGCCACAAATATGCCATTGGTGCTCATCGTATTTTATGCATGTCAATAGGTACTTCATATTGTCATATGATTCTTTCATGGAACTGCATACCCTACAGGAAGAGATGGTAAAATATTTCCAATATGCAATAACACTGCCTTTAAACTCAATGTTGAACTGTCTATAAACAATCTCCATTCTTCTGGCTTATAGTTTATATTTAAAGCCGCCAGTAAGCCGTTAATGTTACTGCAGAAAACCAAGTTATTCTCCATATTGAAAAATGGTTCTAAGTCTTTGTGGCGTTTACGAAAAACACATACCGAAACATCGTCTTCTAACAAGTTCCACTGCTGCAGTCTTGATCCAAGTAACTCTGCCTTACATTTTGGAAGTTCTAAATCTCTTACAAGATCATTTAATTCTGACTGTGTTATTTTGTGCGGTTGGTGGCATGACGTGCTCGGTATAAAATCAGGATCTCTTGACGTTGATGGCATATCTTCTTCCTGACGAATCACTCGATCGCCATGATCTGATTCGTTTTCTGATTCGCAAGTGTAGGATTCTGGGGGTTTTGGAATAGGATTTTCGTCACTGTGAGGCACAGGTCTCATCGCAGATGGTATGTTTGGGTAGTTAATAACCGATTTTTTTTTTCTTGGACATACCTGTGGCTTGTCCAACACAAGGTACCATGCAAAAGTAACAATCATTAATATGATTTGTAGGCTCTCTCCAAACCATTGGGACAGCAAAGCGCATAGACCGTTTTTTGCCATTTAACCAGCTCCTCAGACTTGAAGCACATGTATTACAGCAGATGTGGGGTGCCCACTGTTTGTCTTGATCACCTAGTTTACAACCAAAATAAAGCTGATACGCCTTTGTTATTAGTGGAGTAATAGACCGTCTCTGAGACGCAAAAGTCACATCACCACACACGTAACAAAACTGATCTGGATTGTTTACACACTTTCGAGACATCTTGCATGAACGCGAACAATATAATGTACACGTATGTATAACGTAACACAATCATGCCGATTACATCATCTTTCCTTGCCGAATATAAAAATGTAGCACGTGCATTCTTGTGAATTACAGTATATTAACACTGTCACAGCAGGAACACATATAATTACCGTATCTCTAAAACTTGAACTAATATTGAAAAAATAAGTTTCATTTCGATTTTAGCACATTAAAAATAGTAATATTTTGTTGATTTTATTTAGGATATTTTTTGGCTGTTGATCAGTGTAATATACGTGTACATGACACGATATCTATTGATATAAAGTTAATAAATACAGCATGAAGAAATAAAAATTTTAAATCTGAACATATGTTGTTACAGGTTCCTGAAAGTGAAGAAGAATGGAGACATATTGTAGAAGGATTTTCTGCACAGTGGAATTTCCCTCATTGCTGCGGAACGATAGATGGAAAACACGTTCAGGTGCCCACCGAATAGTGGATCCCAATTCTATAATTATAAAGGAACTTACAGCATAATTCTTTTTGCTTTAGTTGACGCAGATTATTGCTTTAAATATATAGAAGTAGGGGCCGATGGTAGAGCAAATGATAGCACTATATTTAGGAATTCTGATTTGAATAAGGCTATGATAAATGGATCATTAAATTTTCCACAAGATTCCTTAATAATAGGTGATGATGCATTCCCTTTAAGGAATAATCTTCTCAAACCTTATACCGGATCGCTAACTATTAAACAAAGAATATTTAATTATCGTCTGTCGCGAGCCAGGAGGGTTGTGGAAAATGCATTCGGTATTTTAAGCGCAAGATTCCGAATATTTCACAAAGTTATTAACTTAAAACTAGATACTGTAGATCTGGTAGTGAAAGCTTCTTGTGCATTGCATAACTGGCTCCGAACTACAAGTTCCAGGGTATATGTTCCTAGAGATTCGATTGACAGAGAAGATATTGATACAGGAGAAATCATAAATGGTTTATGGCGTTCTGAAGTTGAACCATTGCAATTTGCAAGGCTATTGCGTGAGAAATACACAGATTTTTTTAATGGAGAAGGCGCTGTACCGTGGCAAGATAGAATGATAGGCTTATGAAGCAATGTGTTGATAGAGCCCTACACAATAAATAATATATCTAACTAATATGTACGTATAATATATAAACATTAAAACAAAATATATGCCCTTACCATGTTGTTTGTTGTCTTCCTGCTGATGGTGACATTCCTCAAAAATATATCTGCCTTAGCAAACCAAATAAGCTTCGGCTTATATACATCATCTGTACCAGATCCACTTTTTTGGACTTTAAAATTTTATTTAATTCTTGCCTGTATACAGTTTTTATGGTTTTTAATTTAGTTTTCATCATGGGCACATCTACGTTTTCAAATCCTTCCATTTCTTTCAGATCTTTCAATAGACTGTCAAATGCAGTACTCTCTTTAATTGATCCATATGATCCTTGCTTCGTGTATCCCACAGTACTTCATATTTTTCATAAAGATTTAAAAATGCTTTATTTGATCACTGTTCCACTTCATTTTAACTTTCTAAACTTGTCAAGGGACTGTCTACACAGGGAAACAAACGCGTCTGGACAGGAAAGTCAGCCAGTAACGTAGCCGGCTCCTCAACTTTACTTGCCACTTGCTGGCAATCGGACACTTGTACTTTTTTCTGAGTTACACATGGCAAGTTTACTGGCGGCAAGTACTTTCCGCCAAGCGTAAAGCAGGCATTAGTAAAGAGGGTGACCACTCCCTAGACGACTAAACCTGTCTGTTTGAAATTAATGTATACATCAAAAAAAAATCTATAACTTATAGGTAGGAAGGTATATTGGCAACACAGGAAAATCAAATGTAACCACTGAAACTTTTGACAATATTTTATTTCTAAAACCGCTGCAACCGTATTAACGAAGAATTTTCAAATATGTACAGGGTGTTCCTTAATGATACACAAACTCGGGGTGTTGAAGTTTTAGGAAAAAAATGGAAATTAATTATTATTTTCAGAACCGCTTCAGATATTTCACTGATATTTGGTACGTAGTGAAAGTTAATAAAGTTGCATATTATTCAATGTAAATATAATTTTTAGCTCTAGCAGTGGCGTGCGTACGGGTATTGACTTCGATATTTTTTAAGAAAAAAATAGTACGCCAATAGTTTTTTGACAAATATAAATTATTTTTTAATTCCCCTTTCAATTTAAAAGAAATGATCTGCCTTGAATTGTCTTTCTTCGATGCGCCATTTTTAAATAAAAAAATATAAACCGTTCTATTGTCTAACTTGCAAAGTATTTTGTTTTTTATTATATCACAAGCTGCAACTATTCTTTCTCTTAATTCCTCTACAGTGATAATGGGACTTGTGTACACTAGTGCGTTAAGATAGCCCCACAAAAAGAAATCTAAACTGTTGAGGTCTGGGGACCTTGGTGGCCATTCTTGGGCTCACTGCGGCCAATCCAACGATTTGGATAAACAGTTTGTAAATAACTACGAACCGCTACACTGAAACGCAACTGTTGTTGAAGGAAATTGAGGTACTTCTATCCGTCAAGTCATCCCGGCAAGAAGAATGGACCAATAAAGTGGTTGCCAATAATTCCTGCCCATACGTTAACCGAACATTGGTGTTGGAAATGGGTTTCGATTACGGCATAGGGATTATCTTCTGCCTACAAATGGTTATTGTGGAAATTCTGAATGGCATTTCGAGAAAAATTAGGTTGGTCCGTGAACAGAATCATTGATTCAAATTGCGGATTTTTTGAAGATACCACTGACACAGGTCACACGTATTGTAAAATCAATGGGAAGTAATGCCTGTACTCTTAAAATATGGTAAGGATATAACAGAAAATCCACTAAAATTCTGCAAGCACTTTGAAGGCAAATATCTAAGTGCCTAGCTATCTTCCTCGTACTCGTTTCAGGATGTTCTTAGACTTCGTGCAGCACTGCTTCCTCAATTTCAGGTGTTCTCACACTTAGAGGTCTACCATCAGATGTTCCTTTTCGGACAGAGCCAGTTCCAAATTGACGACGATAAATATTAGAAAAGATTCGACTATCTGGCAAAGCACGATCGGTATATCTCTGGTGATAAATCCGTCTGGCTTGCTCACCATTACCGTCGGAAAGACCATATACCTAATGCATTTCCGCCATTTCTGCATTTGAATAATTCATCCATTGTTAACAAGATTGTAAAAACTAAATAATGAAAAAGATGCCATAGCGAACAGATTTCAATTACAGTGACTTGTCAGATGTCAAAAGCCAGTGACATATTCCAGAGTAACTAGATATTTATTGCTAAATTGCATTCTTCAATTATTGCATTAATTTTCTGGGACAATAGAACGGTTTTTATTTTGCTTACTCAAAAACGACGCATCGAACAAAAACAATTTAAAAGAGATCATTTGTTTTAAATTGAACGGGGAATTCAAATATAATTTTTATTTGTAAAAAATGCATTGGCGTACCATTTTTTTCCTAAAAAATATCGAAGTCAATACCCGTACGCACGCTACTGTTAAAGCTAAAAATTAGTTTTGCATTGAAAAATATGCAACTTTATTAACTTTCACTACGTACTGAATATGAGCAAAATATCTGAAGCGGTTCTGAAAATATTAATTAATTTCCATTTTTTTCCCTAAAACTCTCCCCTTAAATATTGGCATATCATGAAGGAACACCCTGTATATGGGGTTCAACTGAACATGGGATATTATCGACAGACAAACCTGTGTCTGACTACCCTTTCACCGTCGGTGTGTCTCTGCCTGTCAGGACAAGCACAGTTTCCACATTCCAGATTTATTATCATCATTTCTCATTCGTTTTAGTGTGGTTTGGCTCGCTGTGTCAGGAACTCGAAAAGTAATACTAGTTTCAGCCGTTCAGTGTTAGCCAAGTCATGATCAAGCATCTTCAATAATCTCATTAGCTGCTCGCACTCAAAAATTGTGTGACAATCTGAATAAATTAGTTGAAAAACCTAAAAGCCGACTACAGTCTTTTATTTACAATTTTGTTGATGTCGCGCCATATGTAAATTTTAGATGTAACATGTCTTTTTAAGAAAAAATAAACACTGCTTTCGAAACAATGCCGCTCTCCAAATATTTTTTGAGCGAGTTAAGTTAACGAGCTGAAATTTAGGGTGATGAAATTGATACATTTTATCGTAAAAATGGTAGTGACGTGTTTCCAAATTGTGACTGAGCGGCATTTTGGAAGATTTTGAGATGATAAACAATCTATGTTCTTTCACCCATAATTTTTCACATTCCTGTACCTAAAGCTTCAGTTCATGCTCTCATATCCTGAGCAACTACACTGCCTTTTTCGTAAAAAAATGCATTTTTTTCGAAATTTTGAAGAAGTATTCTGAAATAGCTCGTTATCAAGTATGGCCTATGTACTTTCGTACCTTGACAGCGCATCCGATAAAGTTCCCAAATTGCAAGTATGATGTTCTCTCCTCTATGATTTGATGTCACATCACCATATTTTTAAATTCCGACATTGGTAGCGCATCCACCATATTTTTACATCGGAACTTCACGCCTCGATGGCACATTCACCTTATTTTAGAGATCGTAGGTTGGTATGCAAATTCGTTATATCAAAAGTAGCCGATAAATCTTTGTTTTTTCATCTTTAATGTAACGGACAGCGTTTCTTTCACAAAAAATATGTTGCGGACTAATATACTAAGTGACATATAAATCCGAACACCCAGTTTAAAGGGTTTTATTTTAGTAAAAGTTGGTGAATGTATTTATCTTACTGTAAATAACAAGTGAAAAAATTTTCAGCCTTATCAGTTGGACATTCCGGTTTTTATACTCCTTTTTTTTAATTCACTAACGCTCTAAAAATGAATATTTCAGCCGCAGTAAAGAATCAACGTTGGCGGATTTTGGTTCTTGACATCCTTTACGATCGGTTACGATGCCTAGAGTACGGAGATCTGTACGATTTCGTCAAATTAGTGAGTTTGATAGGGGCCGTATAGTGGGACTTCGGGAAGCTGGACTTTCTTTTCGGGCAATTGCAGTTAGAGTGCAAAGAAGTGTAGACACTGTGGTTAGGTGTTGTCAGGCATGGCTTCGAGAAGGCCGTACGCAAAGAGCAAGAGGCACTGTACGCCGCCGTAGAACAACAGACCGTGAATATCGCCGCCTAAGATTATTGGCCTTAAGGGACCGTTTCTCCACTACCAGGTCCATTGCAAATGGGTTTGCAGAACACGGAAGACCTATTGGCATGCGAAGTGTTTACCGACGAATGAGAAGTTTGGGCTTGTTTTCATACCGGCCACACTGGGTCCTCCCTTTAACTTGAGAACACCGACGTAATCGCCTTGGGTGGTGCAGACAACGGTCACTCTGGGATCAGGAATGGAGCAGTATTGTCTCTAGTGACGAGTCTCGATTTTGTTTAGGCATGCACGATGGTCGTGCCAGGGTTAGAAGGCGACGTGGTGAAAGGAGGAATCCACAGTTTTTTGTTGAAAGACATGTTCATCACACTGTTGGAGTTATGGTTTGGAGTGCTATAGCTTATGGTTCCAGGTCACCTTTAATCTTCATCAGAGGTAACATGAACGCGCAGCGTTATATTCACGAAGTTCTAGAACCCCATCTTTTACCCTATCTTGACACCCTGGCAGATCCAACTTTCCAACAAGGTAATGCCCGACCACATGTTGCAAGAGTCACAATAGACTTCTTTCAACATAATGATGTCACATTGTTACCATGGCCACCAAGATCTCTCGACTTATCCCCTATTGAGCACGTGTGGGATATGATGGGTAGGAGATTGCTCAATTTGCAACGTCCTCCTCAGGCTCTAGAAGCACTTCGAGAGGAATTGGTGGTTGCCTGGAATGAGATACCACAGGAGGACATTGACCACCTGATCAGAAGCATGCCTAGGCGCGTTGGAGAATGCGTAGCACATCAGGGTGCATCCACACATTATTAGAGGTCAAAGTGCTTTAAAGCAGTGCAATCATTTTGAAATTTTTATCATTTACTTATTATGCTTCATTAAGTACTTATACAAAATGTTATTAAAATAAAACCATTTAAACTGGGTGTTCGGATTTATAGGTCACTTAGTATACTTATTAAATTTTGCTTCAAAGTTTGGCAAGTGATCCCGAATATCAATCTAAATATCGTTCTATATACTGTGACACTAGAAGTATCACCAATAGAAAAAACAATATCTTCACCTTCATTTTTTGTCAATGAG